GCTGGGAGAAGGAATTGTCAGAGTGTGCTTTGAAACTGGAAGTCTGTTTGGGGATTCTCAAGACTAAGTGAAATGACCTTTGACAGAGACTGGACATTACAACTTGGTGAACCAAGCCTCTTGGAAGATAGAAGTAACTGTTCTTGTAAAATCTACAATTCTGTAGAGAATGCATTGTACTGCATTGTATAAATGTAGCAGGGGATTTTTGGTTATTTTAGGTGCGTGCAGAGATTATCAGTTTCTACAGAATAAATACACCAATATTTACTCAAGGTTAATTTTAGATTGTTACAGTACAGTCTTAAAACATGAAATGTTGTCATGTGATCCCTCAAGTCATTCACTGGAAATTAAAATTTCTTTAAAAAAGCTATCTGTCTCTCCAGAGATCATAACAAAGTTTACTTTTTTTTAAAGAAATTAACCTTGCAGGGTTGAATTAAAATTGCTGAAGCTTTAAAAAATTGACATTTTGCATTGATCATAGGCGTTATGAAGCATTTATTCTTTCTCCTCAGCCAATTTTACACCTGTAATCAGGGACCTGTATTGGGTGCAGTGTATAAACAGACCGTGTTGAAATGGAACCAGGCTTGATGGAAATAGTTGCTTTCTCACCCTGTCCTTTTTATTGTTTGTTTGTTTGCATATAAGTGAAACCAACTGAAGAAGACCTCTTACTTGTCCACCAGCCACATGTGTAACGGATGGCCATTTCTTTCAATCCAGATTACAATGCAAAAAACTGTAAACACCATGATTTCACATTATTCTATTTCTCTGTCAATGACTTCGTACAAAGGTGATGACTCATTTGTTAAGGTATTGTGGCAAGTCGCCATCAACTTCTTCATCTGAGAAACCACTGTCTGCGTCCATCAGTTACCTTAGCTGCTACCTCCTGACAGGAGATTCTGCTGGATGAAAAACCATCTGTGCACCTCCTTCTATCCCATCCCACCAATTCCAATTACTCTCTTACCAAGATTGTGTGGTATTTGTGGGTAGAAGGATGCTGCCACCAATCATCGAAGGGTTTAATTGGGCAACAGTACTGGAGGATCAACCGCTATTGAGCTTTAGCAAAACATAGTTTACTGCATGATGGTAATTAGGCACATGTTGCATTGGGAAAAATAGATATTGTAACAAAGACTGTGGAGTACTAGGATTAGGTCTTCACTCCACGCGGTCTAAGATAGTCTATGTAATCCCCACCCAAGACATCATCTCATTGAGTAGAACTTAATGTAGTCCCAAACATTAATGCTTTCAAAACCATTATCTTATTTAACAAATAACAGTTTTCCCTCTGTCCACTATTGCCTGCTTCAATCTTATCGTTCACTTATGATTGATCTTGCAGTTTTGAACTTTCACTTCGCTCATGCTCTTCCAGTTAACCTCACCTTGTGTAAATTACAAATCATTCAGATTACTTCGATGTATTCCTGCTTAGCTACCTCTGTCAAACTTGATTTTCCCATGTTCTACTGCATGCACTTCCCTTACAACATTGGTCTCAAGATCTTTAAACTTCTAAATGTCTCCAAGCCCTCTTCAAACTTTATCTTACCAAACTCTCTTCATTTATATTCAGTTTACTTCTCAGTCATCAAAGTTACACTTCTCTGCTCTACCTTTGAGGGGTGCTCTTTCCAACCCTACACACTGTGATTTTTGTTCTTACTATCCTTCTGTCCAATTGAGCTTCTTCCACCCCTTGTTCATATTTTCACTCCTGCGTAGTGGCCATTGTTTTCCTTCTCTTGGAAATTCTTTCAAGGTGCCTTTCTGTTTTTTGTGGAGTGCTGAATGTAATAAATAGAGAAGCATATCCAAACTGAACCCAACACTGTTCATTGAATGCTCAGGAGTGCATATTTTCAATAAACTTCATTAATCCATATTAACCACATGTTGTTCACTGTATCAACTCTGACATTGGAAATGGTTTTCAGATTTGTAAAATAAAAATTGTTAACAGGATTTTGACAGATTACTGGAGAATAAACCCATTACTTTTACAGCTATTAAGGATATTTCTGCGTTTGAATGCTATGATTTGTAACAGCGCACTATAATAGTTAGCCACTGTTCAATGATAGTTGGCTAAAATAATTCATTCTGTAATCTGTCAGCATATTCAATGAGTTACGAGTGGCAGTATTAAATCATTTGTACAAAAGAGAACATCACTTACATATTAATAAATGCATCATGACATAAAAATATACCTAATAATTTTCTCTGTGAAATTGCAGAACACCAAATCCACCCATAAATTTTTGATGCACAAATTCACAGTTTGCAACTGTGTAGTTCCATGATTTTATACATTTCTAAAGCACAGAAATAGACAATAAAAATGCTCATTTATAAAATGCAAAATGATGTTCTCAGATTTTCCAGATGTTTCCATCCCCAAAAAGCTTCAATTATGTCACTTTGCCTATTTGGTTTTTCTCGCTACAAGTTGTCATATCTAGTTTATGTTTCCTGAAAAAGTCCTTTTAACTGGACTAAAAGTGAACATAATATACAGTTTAATTGCATTGACAATACAATGTACTGAATACTTATTTGGTTCCAATTAGATATTAATCACATTGTTAAACACTTAAATATTTGAACATATTACACATATACAGAATGTACATCAGGCAGCTTGACATACAACTGCATAAAATTAACGAAGGCATTATTTTCCAGCCAAAAGATACACACACACTATCTGACAATAAAGAAATACATCATAGTAGTTATGGCATGTTATTTTACATTGAGCCTGCCAATAGCTCAGCTGGTATCTGAACAGCTTAGTGTAGAACAGAGCCATATGGGAAAGAAAATTTCAAACCCTTAGTCTCTGCTTGATTGGCTGACCTCAGCCAATATTCTCGTATCTTAATATTCCTTTTTGAAAATTTTTGCTTGGATATAATTTATGTTCACAATCAGGCTTTGTCTTTCCTCCATCAAGTACCCTTCATTACCATTCAAATTTTTCCTTTATTTAGTTGTAAAAATATTAGAAATTAACTTTTGGTTTTAGTATGGTGTCAAATGATAAGTGGAAAGCTATCTGTTATACAGCTATGAAACTTACATTTGTAAAGGCATAGTGTTAGGTGTTGCAGTAACACGTATCAACCTTCCTGAGAAACCTTTAACCCTTTCAGTATGAATTGATGCAGTCTATCTAGCTCTTTCCTCATAAAAACAACTTATTTTAATTTCTTTTTGATTGCATACGTCATATGAATTAAATTGATTAGTCCTGTTAACTATCCATACTTTTCAAATGGTTAATTGATGTGTTTAACATGTAAGATGTACTTGCAAGAACACATTGAGTAACTGTGCAGATACTACAGTAGTCACTGTGTGCAAAATCTGGCCTATTCATCCTCAGAAACCTCTTTGTGAATGGCAATTATCAATGGCATGTTTCATTAATGCATTCTCTGAAGTGGGTATCATTATTTTTAAAATATAAACTATGTCAGAAATTAGGATTATTGGTGATTTCTTTACTTGGGGTTTAACTTTTCTGAAAGCAAACTTAATGACATATATATTTGGAGCATTAGCAAGACAAAAAATGCAGGTTCAATCCAGCATTTAAAAAGTGCTTTCAAAAATAATTTGGTTCAGCTTTTAAAAAACAATAGGGTTACAGTTTCCTCTGTTATGATGATCTAGATATTAGATCTAAAATGTCAATCTGCTAACATCAAGGTATGCTGAAGCTTCCTGTGAATTCTCCTGAATGGAAAATTTTTATAAATCAACTGAAAGAGCTGAACCAACACAATATGTTAATATTTTCAGTCAGAAAATGATAATTGCAATAAAACATTTAACCAATGTTCGTAAACATTAGGTATAGCATGTTCAAGAGTACCAGAAGATTTTCTATTTCTAGTGTGACCAGTGCTTATGCAATAAAATATGCGCTGAAGTAAGCCCAAAATGCAGAACAGGTCTCAGTTTCTTTAAAAAAAAAATCTCTAAAAATTGCACTAAAACACCAGAAGAACAAACCTTGTTTCTTGTCACACCTGCAAAACTGATCATAGTTTGAAAAAGCAAATACAATTACATGAAAGTCATTCATAAGGTTTTGTAAGTTGGATCGAGCTATGTTTAGTCTGCAGAATCAACAGATAGTTGTGACAGATTGAGAAGATTGTACTTGCATGAGTCACGCATTTCTGTCCAAACTTCTGTGGTCTTGGAGGCGACATATTTAAATAAACATATCTCTGGGTGCTCGTGGGCAGGAAATTCTAGGAATTGGTGTGTCATTTCTGGGTAACTATAATATCCTGGTACAGTTGTTGACTTATCTGCAACTTTAAAGTGTAAACAACATAGATTGCAGAAAATTGCAATTTTGTACTGCTTGAGCAACCACGGAATATTAACATGCACAGCAGCACTGTTGAAACTATCAAAGACAGGACTTACATGAACGGAAAAAAGATAGAAATGACTTGATTATATTAACGGGTGACCTTATACCTGGTCAAAAGGCACCGTTTGTAATTTTAACTATGTTTCTTATTTAAAATAAACTGTATATTTCTTCTATTTCAGCAGGAAACATTGGAATATCAAACAAACCTGTTATTCACTAATGACCCCAATAATCATTTCCACCTACTCTTCATTTAAATTCATAAATGTACACAATCACATTGTAATCAAATGTGGCTTTGCATTTTTGTGGCATCATTTGCAATTGAAGTTCATGCATTTACTTTAAAGTATCAGGAAAGAGTAATGCAGTCTATTTTTAGTCTCTCCAGAAGCTGCGACCACAATTTTCAGCATAAATTTGCCAAAGACTTTGATTCAGGACTTCCATCATCCAAAGTTCTGTCCGAAAGCTTCCTTTTCACAGCATTGTAATATGAGGTTGTCTGAAGTGAGTTAAAACCCTGCTCCGGTAGCTCAAACAGACCTGTTACAGTCGTGTGAAGCTGATGAAGTTACCACTTACAACGTAAGCTGAGATTCACACAATAGCAGATCTCTTTGAAAGTCTTGCGCATCTCCTGACTTCGAAAGGCGTAAATCATGGGATCAATGACCGAATTACACATGATGAGAATCAGGTATGTGTTAAAGTGTGATGTGTAACAGATGCAGTATGGATTTTTAGGACACGATATGATGAGGATAAGGTGAAGGAAAAAGGGAGCCCAACAGACAATGAAGATCCCAAGGAGGATGGTGATGGTAATAGCCCCTTTCATGCAAGTCCTCTGTTGAACGATACCATTAACTGGGAACGTGGCAATTCTTTTAACATGTAGACGAGCGAGCATAAACATATGGACATAAAGGGTAGTCATGAGGAAAAGCATGGTGAAGAACATGGTGATAAGACAAATGATAACTGTTTTGCTGTCTGAATAAATGATGAAGGTGATACCACAGCAGATGCAAGTAATCCAAATAATTATCATAAGAATTAAAGCCCGTTTTACTGTCATAATACTGTGATAGCGCAAAGCATAGAAGATAGTGATGTACCTGTCAATGGCAATAGCCAGTAGATTACATATTGATGCCACCAGGGAAATACAGATCATTGAGTCAAAAACATTGTCCATTTGTTGAATAAACTGGTCAGTAGCCACTAAGTAGCCATTGTTTAAAAATGCCATTACAATTGTCTCCAAGGCATTAGTTACACTTACCAGCATGTCTGCCACTGCTAAACTACAGAGAAAAAAATACATTGGAGAATGGAGGTTTTTGTTTTTAAGAATTGCAAGGATAACGAGGATGTTTTCCAAGAGGCTGATGATTCCTAGAGTCAGAAACACTTCAGATTTAATTGGGACCTGTTCACACAAAGCTGCACTGTTGTTCAAGTTACTGCTTTCATTCAGATCTTCTGTGCTGTTCATTGTCGGCAAATAGAATATAGAATGAGTGGAATTCATTGTGCCAATGGGAAGCTCGTGCTGTTAGAAGCAAAGCTTGAAAGAATTAATATCTCCGCTGCCACAGCATCAAAAAGTTCCATTAATTCATATTGAAAAAACTCGAAGGTAGCATATCGTTCTTCACCTTGCTGATTTTGGACAGTAATTTTTTGAACTCCTTTCAGCACGTAGCAATTTCTTCTGTTGCTGGCTTTAAGGCACACTAGGACTGAAAGTTCGGAATTTAATTTTGTCATTCTGTTTACAATGTGTAGAGTCTCAATTTATTCTCTGAGCTGTATTAGCTGAAGATTCAATGCTTTTATAGTCCACTGGAAGACAGCAGCTCCTCCCTATTCTTTAGCGAATTAAAATGTCCATTTAAAGTGCAGGGCTAGGGCTGATTGACAGGGAATTGCTGCTGAACTACTGTAATAAGGTACAATCTTCAAGCTCTTCAACGTATCAATACAGTGGTTGCCTGGTGCCCTCTTGTGTTGATCTTATTGCACATCAACAAAACAATCCATAAATTCAAATGGCAAACTATAGCATTATGAAAATGTGATGATAGCATGCTTCATATATGTATTTTGACATGGTTTTTTAACGAAAAGAGTTTGAGATAGAGGTGATGAGCTGTCTGCTTAAAACCAATAAAGTAATGGCTTGTGAGGCCTTGTATTTATTTTTTTAAAGTTGGAACAACAGAAGCAGCCTGAATGGGTGGGGTCAGGCTACCACAGAGCCAGGATTTTTAGTTTTAGCCTTCAATAGTAGTTGCTGGGTTCTGGAAGCTGACTGTGGAAGCTCTTTTTCCTCTTTCTGTTACAGCTAAAAACTGGTGTTCTCTTCCTGCTGCTAGAATTGCGTGTGAGACAATCTATTTTACTGAGTTTGCCTTTGTCAAGGGTGGGCTTATGGGATTTGAGTATTTTGGAAGTTAATGAATAGTTCAATATTTTGTTAAATATTTCAATTGAGTTACAGTTAAGCCATTTCTTTTCTTTTTATTTTGTCTGTATCTTAACTATAGTCTATGAATAAAGTGTGTTTTGCTTCAAGCCTGATAGTTTGACCATTTGAATTACATCTGGAATAGAACGCCTGGTATTTGTTTTTAAAATGAGAAAACATTAGGGTCTAGGCTATCTCTTAGACCTGTTTTGTGGGGGTCTGGTCCATAACAAGTACAACTGACCTCATCTCAAAACATTATATGTGACTCACTGAAATTGTTGAAGGTGTTTACAGAGTAAGTCTTCACTTGTGTTCCATCATTAAGCTAGTTCTAGAAATTTGCAGGTATTTGGTGGAGGAAAAACAGTAGGACTGGAAATCCAAGTATTCTTTCCAAGATCCAATGGAGCAATCCTGCTAATTCTAATGAGAAAGAATCTTCTGAGAAATTAAATACAAATGCTTCACTTGACCTCTTCTGCACATTCTGCTGACTGCCACCTCATACTGGTCTCCCAATTTCTTGAGTTAAAAGTGTATCATGCTGCAAAGACATCATCAAGCTATGGCCAATGAATGTAAATTTGGCCCCCACCTACATAAGATGGGCAGCCTATTTTTAAGGTGGGGAGGAGACTATGCCACAAACCTTTGTCCATTATGTATTATGCCATTCTAAAGAAGAGTCCTACCAGACTTGGGACATTAACTGTTTCTCTCTCCACAGATATTACCAGACCTGCTGAGTTTTTCCAGCAATCTTTGTTTGTTTCAGATTTCCAGCATCCACAATATTTTACCTTTTTATTGTTTGTCCATCATTTTCTGGGTTCAGGAAAGGCTGTTGGATTATAATCCACCTGCTGGGAATAGGAACCCCGGCTGATTTATTTTTTGTGCCCATATTAGCTGCCTGATTGTATCTCTGGATGAAAATAGTCAACTCAAAATCCAGGAGTTAATCTCAAGAATTATCCGGTCTGTACGGCTTACATCTCTGATATTAATGGAAGATGATGAACCCAGCAAGGTTCTCCTGCATCTCTTGGCCAACAAGAAGTTTTAGGGAGGTGATCTTCAGTATTTCAATTGGGAACCTCATACCTCAGATCTGTGTGCAGGCAGCCAAAGCAGTGAGTCCTACTCTGGTGTTCAGTTAAATTTAGTTATGACATTGATTATGTCATCAGACTAGGACTTTTGAATACTTATTAGATTGCTGCTTGCTTCTTGTTGGAAGCTCACTAATGGTCTGCTTAGGGTCTGAGGAAAATAAAAATGCCTGTTGGTGCTAGTTGGTAAAATTTTAAAAATGTAACCTTTTCCTAGCCAATCTCAGAGTAGGGAGGATTAGTAGATTAAAGCTGTGATCTCCTTACCTGCGACATTTAATGCTCAGTCTCTTCAATTGCAAAAAATGTACTTAAATGTTACTATCCAAAAATCTGGAAATTAAAAGCTTTAGTTTATATTTATTAAACTTCATGTTTGCATTTGTTATACCAAGCTTACTGTTAGGATTATGTTTCTAGCTATGTCTTAATACGTTGCTATATTCTGTGTTACAGTATGTTGTCACAGCATCACAGGATTATTCACACAGTACATGGATAAGGTGATATTATCAGCATTTATCATATACAAGCCAGTACCAAGGGGCTTGGAGTTGTGGTTGCTGAGAGGTCACAGCAGAACTCCTTAGACTGTCCATAAATGGATAATCATACAGAAAATTGAATTTGTTATTGAGGGGTTGCCTTACCATAGATTATTAAAATAATTACTTTAAAACATAAACTAAGAAAGCAATTTTATTATAATGTTTTATATTAATATTAAACACAGTTGTAGTGTTGGAACTTACTTCTGTATGTTCCTTTAAATTTTGCTTTTCTTTTATTCCAATCATACCATATGTTATGCTATATTACCATCAAAGGCATAATAACTAGCTTTATCTAATCATCTTTTGCCATTTATAAATTAGCAGGTTACAGGTCATCTTAAAAACACTTGCCATCTACAGGTATCTTGGATTAAGTGTGCAAAAATGTGGTCTAAACTAATAACCCATGACATTTTGGAACCTATAAAGATTTAGAATTTTTCAGTGTTCAGAAATTGTCAAGGATCGTGATAAATTCTAAATAAACTTTTGCATATAATCTATTTGTTTCTTGATTAGTTCTTTTTTAGGCTTGTGCGTTGCTTTGAAGGAGCTTGACAAATGGTACAATGAATATATAAAATAGAAGCAGAAGTAGACCATTCAACCCTTAAGACAGCTTTGCCATTCAATAAGATCATACGTGATTTGTTTCTATGTACTTCATGTCATGACGGTTAATTTAAGTAGGAGGTGCTTTAAAACAAGCATGAATGTGGTGTTCCAAACTCAGGTGAGTTATGAAAGTAAAATTGTGTTGGCCACAGTTCACGAATACCATCCAAGATCTCATAGGCTGCGCAATGGCATGAAGCTGATTTCACCTCTCCTTGAACTGCAAGTATTCAGCAACACGATCTTATCTACAATGCTACCTTTCCTGAGTGATGAGGGGGAGGAAAGTTTCAGTGATCTTACCACAATTAGAAAATCCTACTATATTTGCATGACATGGCTGATGCCACAGTCTCTGGAATATAGTTCCCTATTACAAAGGTCCACGTAGACACATTCTAAATTGTTGGAATCCTCCATGTCAAATTATTTGGAGGCCTTTGCAAAGTCGTTATTGGTGTGTGATGTGAATGCTGACTGCTCACATTACCAAGAGCTTGTTCTGTTTTTGATATTCCCCACACTGCAACCTTGAACAGCTAATGAATGGCCTCGTCATGAGGAAATTGCAGCTAAAGGTCCCCTCAGGATGTGCAAAACGTTCAGAGCCTGTTGTCCCTGAAGCCATTTCCTCCAGATGATTGAGGTGCAGTGTCACCACAGACTGAGGATGTCCAAGGATACCATTCGAGAACTGTCCTGGAGTGGGTCCTGTGAACTGAAGAGGTGAGTGCCCATCATTTGTGGCTGCTGTAGGGTGAAGCTGCAATAATTAGCTGCTTCCAAGGATCCACTGGCGACCTATGTAGAACTCCCAACATAAACCCATAAATGTATCAAGACTGGTACTGATGCGATCTGACATAAATTACATCATATCACCTTATTTCCATGTGATCAGATTAGCAGACCGTGGGCAGTGTGCCAACATTGTTGGCATCACTCAGGTGCAGGGTACTATAGACATATCATTGAGAGTGCCAAATTATGACATAGGTGACTTCATCAACAGAAAAAGGTTTCCATTTCATAAATCTACAAGTCATCTGCAGTATCAGTACCTATCCGAGAGACCTGTGGCAGGTACCCTGGGAGCTGCCACGATGCTATATTCTTGAGAGCTTCCATGTTCTTGTTTTTTTTTCAAGGACCAGAAGCTTTGCAGGTATGTTTACTCGGAGACCAGGGATACCCACGGCAATCATGGCTGATGACTTCATTAGGTAACCCCCAATTTGAGGCCAAATGCAGAAACAATGCAGCTTATGTTTCCACCACAGCCATGTGGAGCAGATGATTCAGCTCCTGAAGTTGAAGTTCCGATGCTTGAATCAATCTTGGGTGGTGGACGTGGAAGGTTGGGGGTTGGTGGGTGTTGGGGTGTGTTGGCTTGTAGCACACTCCAGGAACAGTGTGTCACATAATCCTGGAAAGATATTCTCTATACAGCTGGAGTAGGCAAAGAAAGGATGTGGTGAATTTTGCAGAACTGGGAGAGCAACAGCTATCTTCCAAGGAGGAATATGAGGGCATTAAGCAGAAGAAACATCACCTTCAGCACAATGGAGACATGCAGCATCAGATACAACTATCCAGACATCAAATTCCAATAGATGTGAGCTGCATATGGGTATCATTCTTTAGTTGATTGCAAATTTATTGTTCCTCAAAAGGGAAGCTTTGCTGTTAGTTTTCAGAAGGGTAGGCAATCTTTTTGGTTTGATTTTACTTTGTTTGTTTTTCTTGTTGAATAAAAGTGATTTTTTTTCACTGGGTG